TATTTTGTTGGTAATTCCGTTGCCAACACATTTATTTTATAGTTTTATATTTTTTATAAAATTTCGTTGAAAAAATCGTTGGTAATCCGTTACTAATATCAACGGCTGGCTTCCGTTGGTAAAAAATCGTCTCTAAAGCCTCAATTTCTAGTAGTGAAAATTTATCAATTAAAATACTATAGAATTCTTAAACTTACTTCCAAACACCCCTAATTACCTTATATTAATCCCTAAAATCTCTCTTAACGACATCGTGATTTTCTATCGTCTTATTCCATTCTCAATCACCACCAAATTGAATCTCCAAACCATGTGTAAATTTTAGGAGGAGTCCCGTCAAATTATTTATTTAAGAGAGCAGAATAAGAACTAAATTGATTTTTTAAGGTATGAAACTGTTCTTCAGCAGTGGATTGAATTAAAAGGCATAATTTGGATTGATTGGTTAAGTGGTGGAAGATAATTGTATCAATTTCAGTGTAATGCTTGATTAATCTGTGATTTAAAGGTTTTAATTGAATTTTAATTTGTTTGAAGTGTTAGTAAAATGGTTAATAAAATTTAACATTTCCTTAGACAACATTTCCTTAGCCTTTTCCAATATAAAGTTAACAAAGCTTTGAGTTCATTTCCAATTAAATAAAGAAAAGTGCCGAATAAGTGTGTTTTTTCACACTTATCAACTAGATTCTACAATCTACAATTACAATCTTGTTTACCGTTTCAGAAATTAATATTTGGTCAAACATCGGTTTAAATATGTTTTACCATTTCTGTGCGATGGTAAAGGCTCTATATAGGTAAAGGCTCTATATTGGAAAAGGCTTCTACAAGAGCACTTTAGCAATTCTTAGCACTTTAGCTAAACAAATCTGATTCTACAATCTAGTCAAGCTTTGTTAACTTTAGATTGGAAAAGGCTAAGGAAATGTTGTCTAAGGAAATGTCAAATTTTATTAACCATTCAAAATATCTTAAAAATTCAAAATATTTTTTTTCCGTTTTTTCAGTTGCTTAGGCCTCAATTAATCTTACTAGTTTGGGAAATATGCTTCGAAGAGCCTCCTTGCATGCCTAAGGATGCATCCGAAGATTTTAAGGATTTTATCGAGTGTTGTCTGCGAAAGGATTGGACGGAAAGATGGACAGTCGAGAAGTTGTTATCGCATCCATTCATAATAGGCGCAAGACAGAATGACGTCGGACTCGGAAGTACTATCGGAACAAAAGGGACAATTCAGTGCTTAGCGATTCTTTCTCTGTCAGAAGGATAGTTAGAATTTAGAAATTGTTTATGATTGTCAAAATTGAGATGTTTGGCAAACAATCGATACGGATTTTATGTGATTCATGTAATACTTCAAGGTGTTTAATAGAATGTCTCTGGTTTTATTCATCCTTAAATCTCTTTTTCTGTTTTATCGTTTTTCAGAATATTTTCTGCATTACTGTGTCTGTCTTCTGGTTAATATAATTTCTAACGAACAAACGAGGGCTTATATGTAAAAGAAGAGAATAATCCTCTACTTTTAGGACAGGTATAATTTTTCAAACCTGCAACTTCCACCCATTGGAATGATTCAGAAAACAGTTATACTCCAAACGAATTGTACGTCGGCACTCACATTCAGAACTTTCAATCAACTCAAACAAATCCATGCCCACCTCCTCAAAATCAATTTCTCCGAGAACCC